ACTCTCTTCAAGAACATTATTTTCTGTTCAGAAGAGGTATCAATTAAAACACGTAGGTATTCGATTGATTAGGTGAGCAAAGTACATCATAAGGAATCCGGAACGTTTCGCCCCCTCAACAATTTATAATATGTGTGCTTGTCAGGTACTCCGTAAACTCAAAACCTGCGGCGGCGGATTTTTGGTTGAAATTGTAGTTTGAAATCACATAAAAGAGTCTATTACAAAACTTATCTGTGAATCGTTACACACCCTTTCAGAACATCTTTTCCTTATAATTTACGGGGCCCGGAATAAAAATATATATGTGTGGTGGTTTCCCCAACTCTGTAGGCATTTTCCGATGAAACGGCTGTTAAATTGTTTACTTTAACAATTAAAACCAAGGATATTGAACGTAAATAATATTCTTTATTTGCTTTCATTGTCCTTTTTTTCAATTGTAATTGTGTGTCGATGACCATATAGTTGTTAAGTGTAGGGCTACACTCAAACCCTTTTGTGCTACACATGAAGCCTGTTAAGACTTGTTGATGGTTTTGGCGTTTAATGGGCTGTTTGTATGGTAGGTATGATAGTGCGCGGTGGTGGGATCATTAGTAACGAGCGTTGGCGCCTTGATGGCGGTGGTGACAATGACCCATCGCGGCCACAGGCTTTATGTTCAGTGGTGGTTCGTAGGTTTTTTTTGAAGTAGTACACTTCCAAACAAATACAACCAATATTTAACATATAATAAAATAGATTGTATTGAAAAATTGTTTAAGAACATTATCAGCCGATTATCGGAATATAATAAACGCGTGAGATTAAAAATAAATCATAATGTCGAAGCGCGACTGCAACGTCGAACATAATACATTGAAAACAATAAAATTAATTGGTTCCGACGTTAAGTGGATAGGAACAAATGTGCAAAGCGATTATAACAAGGGTCGCGTGTTTTGACTTTTTTAAATTTTTGCTCTGTACAAATGTGCCCAACGTTTGTGTGCATTACTATTGTACCTACATACTGATACCCTTCCGGCGGAGACAACCACCGTTTCTTTTGTTCTGAATTTCTATACTTCTACTTTGATATTTTGGAACATAATCTAAAATATTAAAATTACGGGTACTTAGTTGTTTTATTTTGGTTATTGTTTTCAATTTTTCAATTTTTATTGAGTTTGGGTAAGCAGTGCACGTACACGTGTGCTGCAACATGATTACACAATTTTTCCTTTTTCGACCCAACTACTTACACCACTATTGCGCCCCGATCAATTTTTACCTGTTAAAATCACAACACAATTATTCGCCAAATTATATGTGTATATATATGTGTACACTTACTGTGTATAATAACTTGTATGATAAATATCAATGCTTACTCGTTGAATTTGGTATAATATATCGACAAACAACGATAATTTTCATAATATTTTGTCCCATTACTAAAAATTAACAAAATATTTAATATTTTTACAATAGGCTTGAAAATGTAAAGTGCAAGGTTAATCATAGATAGGTAGAAGGAAAAAACAAAACCATTAAAAAGTGTATTAGAACAATATGAGATTATGAATGGAGCGATTGATGTATAACTTTCCAATAACGTGTGTTTTTTGTGTCTGACATAACCTGTAGGAAAAGTTAAAATGCTTCGATTTTCAACTTTGATTGTAGATATGACTAACAAATAAATATTTCAATAATAATATTAATATTTTAACTAATTTTTGTATTTTTGGTATAAAAAAAATCTTAAAATTGTTAAGCTCTAAAGTATCAGCAAGATGTAAATCTAACCTAACCTCCACTGAAGTCGACGATCAGAGCTCTCTTTTAAACAAGAGAAAGTTCCTCCAGACACAAGCAAAACACATTCATCATTGCAAAATCAATACATTCGTCGCAACGATCAAAAATCTAAAATTAAGTGGAAATTACCAAAATATAAAGGTGTTAAATAATAACTTTTAAATTGAATTAGTACACCTAATCGTGATTAATCGTGACTAGTGATAATTTAAAAAAAACCATATTATTGTGTTTATGAATATTGTGATAATATGACATTTAGTGTATAGTTGGGGTCATTCCTACCTATTAGTTGGGTTCAAGTACTTGGGATTAGAGACCCAGGTACTACATTAGTTAGGTAATGGATTTTTTTCAGGAGGGAATCGTAAGTTCCTACACGATAGCAGCAGGTAAAAATTAACTTATAGATACGTTTTTTCCTACACATCAGATGTGTAAGTTATTACAAAGTAAAAAAAAGTTGTGTATGCGAATTCATACACAGCGTTTTCATACATTTTACAATTCAATAGACTTATAAAATTCCATATTTTATAGAATATTATTATAAGTTAAAAATATCGAATGCTTAGAATTTTACAAATTATGATGTATACAAAATATAGGTACAACTAAAAAACCAAAAAATATACTAACTTCTATTTTCTACTAAAATATTAAGACTAGATTATCGAATTTTACTTCTCGGAGCAATTAATATCTACAGGCCGATGAAACACATAATTTGACAGACAAAAAGGTCAAGTTACAGGTAGCTGGAAACCTATGGGCCACCGTGCCGTACAATCTATCTATGCATGTATAAAAGAAAGTCATGTTAGTTACACTATTTATAACTCAAGAACGTCTAAATAAATTTGGATAAAAAGTATAATATATCAGCCTCTTTGTTTTTAATGGAAAAAAAAATACTGTTAAATCGAACTTTTATTGAAAAATATTGTTGTTTTTTTATCATCTTTAATCATGTCGTCATATATTTATCTTATACCCTTTCTTGTGACTTGGGTTTGATAGTTTTCATCGATTTTGTTTATATTAGCACAGGTTTACGTATTTTGTATTAAACCTTAGCGTTAAAGGAGCACACAACACAAAAAATAAGTTTTTTTTATTTGAAAGAATGTTCAATTCTAAGGATAATGGTAAAGGTTTTATGTTTCTACTCACATTACTCAATAAGTTATGAGCAATTGAAAAAAGACGTGTGACGTCACTGTGCCGGAGTCATCGTAATTGACTATCTTATACGTGTAAAAGTTCCTCGCTTCACACAACGATTTATCAACCTAAACATTTTATTTTTGCAATTTAATTTGCATGTTAATATGTGGTTTTATGTGTTTAAGACGATGCAAGTATCAGAATCGCAATACGATGTTTAGTTTTTTAAATATTAAAAATCTTAAAACAGACATTTTGGTTAAACCGCACGTCTTGGCGAGTGTCGCGTGGGGTTCGAACAACGGGTCCGCCGTTTAACCAAAATGTCTGTTTTAAGATTTTTAATACTTAAAAAACTAAACTTCATATTGAAATTCTGATTCTTGCATCATCTTAAACACATAAAACCACACATTTATACGTCAATTAAATTTAAAAAAAAGAAAATATTTAGGTTGATAAATCGTTGTGTGAAGCAAGGAACTTTTACACGTATAAGATAGGCAATTACGATGACTCCGGCCCGCGGCCCAGTGACGTCACGCGGCTATTCTACATCTCTTAATATCTCTTAAAGTAATATTTTTTTTTACATCGTATTTTCACAAAATCATTTCATATAACCATAACTACAATAATTTAACATTTAAAAAAAATTTAAAGAATTTTTTTATTTGTGTTGTGTGCTCCTTTAATAATAATGGTAACGAAATAACAGACCGGGAGAATGGCCGAGAACATCGATCACAAAAGTCCATCGTTCATCACAGATACACCACAACACAAAAATATTCTGCTTATAATATAAACCCCTCAAGTCATAATCACTCATATAAATTTTTTGAATGATGACTACATTTATACTCAACGATCACTTACTCGGGAGATCAATAAGCACCAAGAAGCTACTTTTGTAGACCACGCAAAGCATCAACTTTCATTTCTTTTACATACAAAACTCATATCATTTAAATATCATTATTTACTGAAATGAATATTTTAAAATATGGGGATATATTTTATTTTACATTGTAATGTGTAGTATCATACATAAACATAAAAATTATTAACAATAAAAATACTAACTAGGTTAAGTAAACATGTATGTAACGATATATAGTATTACGTCTAAGTTCTAGAAGATGTAACAAAACAAAAACTAGGTTCAGCGATGATAACATATTGGTCAAAGTACCTTCTAGACAAATGTGGTGGTGGTGGGGGGGGGGAGCAGTGGTAGTGGTAGTGATTGTGGGCCTCGATTACCACCAGATACTGGTGTATATGAAATGTGTTAAAATAATATTATTTCTTTCTTTAATTATGTACGTCTAAGTGATCGGCGTATATGACGCGTCCTTAAGTTTTTCGTCATATCGTATTCATATATTATTATCATTGTTGGGTATATTATGAACAATAAAATATGTTGGTGGTTATTTTTTGTTATGACTTATGGACTACGTTAATCCAACGAATGATTTTTCGAATTTCGATAAAATAGAAAAAATATCATATTAATTACTAAAAATAATGATTTCAGACATTTTTTGACAACATTAAAAACATATTAACCGTAGAAACTAAAAATATTCTACTTATGTTATTGTAACTTAATCACTCAATAACATTATAGGTTTACTGCACAATAACGCTGAACATACATTTTCTAATGTTAGGAGTAGAAAAACGAAAATTTAAAATATGCATGATTTTCAATTAAAAAATGATCGGTGACAAAAAATTGAGAATCAATTAGTTGTGACGTAACAATACAAAAAAACAATTTATACAGATATTAAAAAAATGAATTCTCTATAGTATATATTGAGTACAACGCAGCCGGTTATTGTTGTATGTACCATGCCATGTACATCACGTAAAGCTGTACCGCAAAACTCGTTTGGTATTGACTTTAGGTCGACTAAAAGTTCGACAGTATCATAGTGTATAACCTAAGCCCTTATTGTAATTTTTTCTGGCCCCCGGGTGAAATACTAAAATGTATATAGTCGAGTCGCGATAACCTAAACCTCCATAACTCGCAAAACTTGACAACTCGAATTTTTTTTTATTCCCATATCAATTCTCATAACACTCAATGTATTATGAATCTTGATAACTGCAATCTAAAATTGTGATAAAAAGCTTAGTAAAAGTTTATTAAATCTGTTTTTATCAATTTTTTATAACTTTTACAAATAACTCGAAGTTTTGATTTAATTTTGATAAATTCGAGTTAGGTACCTCGAATAATACATATCTCGAAGTGTATTATTCTCACCCTTCAACTTCGAGTTATCGCGACTGGACTGTAATTTGTATATTATAGTATATATATGTATATTATATTTATATACATCACTTTTTAATTAGGTAGTTAGCGCATATTATTTTGTAGTTGACTCGTTAAAAGTAACTTTGTTGAAAATCATAAACTAAGAAATTCAAAATAATCCCGTCCAATCTAAATTATTTACAAACACTGTTGTGCCTACAATATACAACTACATATCCATCAATGCTCGTACCGATCTCATCAATCTTCATATCCAGCGTTAAAATCGGAAGATTACAACTATATTTAAAACGAAAACGTTCTATTCAATGTTGACACAGTAAATGATATTTTATTTTAATCTACTATTTCAAATTTCAAATTGCTTTGTTCGAGTGACAATCTATTTATTATATTAAATATTAGGTTATTAAATCTGGCATCAATACATATCAATCATCATATTCTTATTATATATCGTATATACAATATCGTCAGTACCGCCTTCCGTAGAACCTCGAGCTTTGCGACTTGAGGAACCAATTATTTGTCAAACAATAGATTGGGTTTGGTTAATACATTAATGATGAATTAGATGGATGATTTTAGTAATTATTAATAATTTTAATGTTATATTATATTTTAATGTTCTTATAACTTAATAATGTGTTATTAAACTACACGAGTTTATAATACAAAATTTGAAAAAGATATGTATTCCTTTATACTGATATTTACTATTTAGTAATGTGATGAAAATGTACCTGTTGTGATTATTTAATTGTATTAACTATTTATTGTGAACTTGAAACTCAACAAGACTTCTACATAACCTTGTTCAGTGGATACCATTATTTTCTTGAAGAATATTAAAAATTTTAAAAATAATTGTAAAATAGCATTTTAAAATACCGTATTATTGAAAAAATCTATTTATTCATTTCAATTAACATCGACATTGATGCATTTTTTTAATAGAAAAAATCAATAAGGAGTTTTCGGTACTTATTTTATTTAAACATAATATCTTGTTGTCCCTATACATAGTTACGATGCAGATGACGACAACTAACATAGGTTAGATAAGAAATAAAATATTTTGTGTATTGTATACGTATATCTATCGAAATAATTCGGATACTGATACAACTACTCATACATTTGTTTGTTAATTTTAGGTTTAATGTACCTGTACATTTTTAATTCATAAACAAAAAAAAAACCACTTAATTTTTGACATGAAATATTTACCCTTTTCTACTAATATTTTTTTTCTGAATTAAAATGAATAATAGGAATATTGGGTGCAAAATATTCAAAAAAATGATTGAAGTATCTATGTCTAATTATATTTGAAAACAAATTATTCATAAATAGTTACAAAAAATTTAATAATATAAACAATAGGTATACAATTTATGAACGACACGGGTAAATAGGTGTCGAATTACACTTCTTGACATATAGGGCATTACTCGTACAGCTACAACACTTTTAACTGGTGTATGAAAGAAAGAAAACTCCACTATAATGCCGGGCTGATTTAAATGCTTTAGGCGGGTTTGAAGCTCAAACTTCACAACCGAGTGGCTAGAATTTCGGTTAAACCGGAATTCGTTTTCCGTAACATATTTGACGAACTCCGGATCCCCGAAGTGCCCATAAATGTTTAGTAAGTCATCTTCCCATGGGCATCCTTTGTCTCTGCAATACTTAATGCACTCCACTTTTCCTCCCATCATTGCCATGGTAGATGTGTATTTATTCCACGGACAACCATTTTGTCGTGCGTAAGTCAAACACTCGATTTGTCCATATTTCGCAGCTTGGGTACAAGTGTCCATGTCCCAGGGGCAACCGTTATTGTGTAAGTACATAAGTCAGTCCAAATGACCCCTTTCCGCGGCTACCATGCTCGTGTACTCGTTCAAAGTACTGCCGTTCACGTGTGCGTATGCTAGGCATTCCAAGTGGCCCGATTTCGCGGCCTTGTAGCTCGCCGACTCATAATCTTCGGTCGAAGTAGACCACGGGACACCGATTGCGCGAGCGAACTTCATACAATCGATGTGTCCGAGGCTCGCAGCCGTTTCACACAGGTTGTCGATTATGTAGTCGTCGCCGAACTGCGATTTTGCGATGGGCTGCACTTTGGCGAACATGGATCGCCGGTCTTCAAGTGGCCGAAAGCGCTCGACGTCCGAATTCAGTTCCATAACTCTGAGGAGCGATTTGCAACAAATTTGTAAGTCAACGGGTAAAGTCGGCAGCTTGTCGTACATTTTCTGCTGAGTATCATTGCATGCGTTGTAGGCCAACTTCAGTAGACTGCAGGGTAAATTGAACTCGTTCGCAGCCATTGCGGTAGTGCTTTTTAATAAATTGACGGTGAATTGACAGGTATGTTAACCTTACTGTAAACATAAAAGCCAAAATATTAATCCATATCGACGGGATAGACATATAATACTCTTATATACTCCGTGCCATATATGACGACCAGAGAAGTGAAAACTCAAATAGTTGGGGCGTAAAAAACAAAACACAAAAAAGTATGCCTATAATGGCTGCAAGATGACTGTGATTTAAATTTTCAACCGGCGGATTATATGAACATATAAAATATTGCGATTTAAAAAATGCTTACAACCTTTTTCAAGTGTAAGATGAGTCACGGGCCACTAACCTCGCGTCGTGGGAAGCCGGCTTTGTATTAAATATTTTATTAATTGTATAAATTGTTCTTAAGTTTGTTGTGCTTAGCGAAATCGATAATAATATTGATTTTAACAGTGTAGGGCCAAATTATCTTAGTTTAATAAAAATAAAAGTGGCGGCTGGAAAGTATGATAGAAACCTAACCTAACGGGCGAGCTCACACACCCGCTAAATGAATGTTTACGTACTGTATGCACATGAAACAATATTTTATATTTAAAAAAGTTAGAGTTAGGGTATATTTTATTTTATTTTTTCGATTTTATAATTTCTATTTATTTTTATTATCTAATTGACTATAACTATTACTAATACTATTTACCACCGTATTTTAAGCAGTTTGCGTGTGTGTGTGTGTGTGCGTGTGTGTGTGTGTGTGTGTATGTGTATGTGTGTGTGTGCGCGCGTGTGCACGTGGTGTGTGTGTGTGTGTGTGTGTGTGCGCACGCGCGTAGTGTGTGTGTGTGTGTATGTTAATTTTTATAGCATTATTAGATTCATTGATAACATATATTTATAGGCTGTGAATATTGTTATTATTTTTCATTATTATTATAGGCAGCACCTTCTTATAGACTACATTGGTTGTTCTTCCGTTTGACGCAAGAATTACTAAGCTTGTAGGTGAACTAACTCTGGAGCATGCCGCATAAAATTGCCCATGTGTAAAGCAGTCATCACTCAAGTCAATCCCTAATATCTTCAACGACTGCCCGTATAGTCATTCGCTGAGCATGGGCCAAGGCTCGTTTTGGAAAATAACATTAACGGGTTCATACGTTATTTTTGAGTCATTGTGCAAAACCCATCATTTTAGAAAAAAAACTAACTTACTCCTAACTGTTTCTTTTATTCTAACAAAATAAAATATTTTAATATTATTATGTACTTACGGATAATAATTATTATGATTTTCTGAATGATGATTTGAATGTACCTGGCGTCACGGACGGTCACGTGCTGAACAACTACTGAACTGCAGCCTGTAGAGCGCAGCCGTGTAGTCATAGCAGAGATCTTTTTTGGCCTCCCCCACCATAAATTCGATGTGTCTGGCCATTGCGGGTTTTCTCTATAATGTTGTATATTATGATATCACAGCGTACATTTGGTCCAAATCCCAGCTTACTATGATTTTAAAATGCGTATTTTAAATTGGCCTGACGGTCTGTATAACAATATGACAATTTCTTCCACATAAAAAATAAAATATTATTTAATTATTTCTCGGAAACAAAAATACTCATGTAGAAGTCTATTCTTTAACTTACACAAAATTAATTAGTTAATAATTTATATAGAATAGCGGAAACATTTTCCCACAATATTTATAGTTGTTTATCAAAAAATGTAAACATTATGTAGGATAATCGTCGTATAGTCGTATATAACCATAGTGGTGAGGAGCAGGGACGGATCCATTGGATGGAAGGTGCCTAGACCTTCCCAAATACATTATTATCCAAATTCTACAGCTCCTGATATCGCTATATTTCAAATTAACGGATCGGGAGAATGGCCGAGAACATCGATCACAAAAGTCCATCGTTCATCACAGATACACCACAACACAAAAATATTCTGCTTATAATATAAACCCCTCAAGTCATAATCACTCATATAAATTTTTTGAATGATGACTACATTTATATTCAACGATCACTTACTCGGGAGATCAATAAGCACCAAGAAGCTACTTTTGTAGACCACGCAAAGCATCAACTTTCATTTCTTTTACATACAAAACTCATATCATTTAAATATCATTATTTACTGAAATGAATATTTTAAAATATGGGGATATATTTTATTTTACATTGTAATGTGTAGTATCATACATAAACATAAAAATTATTTACAATAAAAATACTAACTAGGTTAAGTAAACATGTATGTAACGATATATAGTATTACGCCTAAGTTCTAGAAGATGTAACAAAACAAAAACTAGGTTCAGCGATGATAACATATTGGTCAAAGTACCTTCTAGACAAATGTGGTGGTGGTGGGGGGGAGCAGTGGTAGTGGTAGTGATTGTGGGCCTCGATTACCACCAGATACTGGTGTATATGAAATGTGTTAAAATAATATTATTTGTTTATTTAATTGTGTACGTCTAAGTGATCGGCGTATATGAAGCGTCCTTAAGTTTTTCGTCATATCGTATTCATATATTACTATCATTGTTGGGTATATTAAGAACAATAAATTATGTAGGTGGGTATTTTTTGTTATGACTTATGGACTACGTTAATCCAACGAATGATTTTTCGAATTTCGATAAAATAGAAAAAATATCATATTAATTACTAAAAATAATGATTTCAGACATTTTTTGACAACATTGAAAACATATTAAATGTAGAAACTAAAAACATTCTACTTATGTTATTGTAACTTAATCACTCAATAACATTATAGCTTACTGCACAATAACGCTGAACATACATTTTCTAATGTTAGGAGTAGAAAAACGAAAATTTAAAATATGCATGATTTTCAATTAAAAAATGATCGGTGACAAAAAATTGAGAATCAATTAGTTGTGACGTAACAATACAAAAAAACAATTTATACAGATATTAAAAAAATGAATTCTCAATAGTATATATTAAGTGCAACACAGCCGGTTGTTGTAGGTACCATGCCATGTACATCACCCAAAGCTGTACCACAAAACTCGTTTGGTATCGACTTTAGGTCGACTAAAAGTTCGACAATATCATAGTGTATAACCTAAGCAATTATTGTAATTTTTTCTGGCCCTCGAGTAAAATACTTAAATATATATGTTACGGGCAAAAGTCGAAATCGGGCAAACCTCAGAAATGCCCGGGCAAAACGCGAACTGCCCACAATCCTTGGGCAAAATGTCATATTTCGGCTTTTGACCGGGCAAACCTAGTTATGACCAACCTAATTTGGGCAAAACCATATACTGACTTTTATTGTAATGGCAAAACCATAGTGTCTTATATACGTTCGGTAATATTAAATATAAATAATTTTAAAATAAATACAGTAGACGCCGCTTATAAGACTCACTTTGGGACCAGCACAAAGTGAGTCTTATAACCGAATGAATCTTATAGGCGAAGTGGAAAAAAAAATTAATTACGTATTTATAAATTTTATTTTACTACATATTTTGCTTTGATTTTAATACTTTAACACATATTACATATTACATACTTTATTGTTGAATAAATTTAATAATCCTGATAAAAAGAAACTAAAATTATAATAGGTAAATAATACATATAAAAATATTATAAAAATTATACATTAATAAAAAATTATAAAGGTTAGGTATATACGTATGTGTATTTATGTACCCGTAATTACGATAACTGTGCAGCCGCCAGATAATCAGATACCTCACTATAATAACGATAATCGTTGCGATAAATGTGAACTTTTATCTGCTATAAAAATTATTATACGTTATAAGGTACCAACAGAAACTAGGAATAATCAACACGAATATTATTTAATTTTTCAATACCAATTTATTTCTAAATTATAACCAAAAAAGTTTATTTTCTACTATTTATTTTACGAAATGTGAGTCTTATAACCGAAGCGTTGAGTCTTATACCCGATTTTTTTTTAATGTATTTTGATACGTCCGGTCCGTTCCAGACGATTTTGAGTCTAATAAGCGACTGAACAAATATAATTGAATAAACTTAATTAATACATTTAAACCCCACTTGAGCCAAACCGTAGCGTTTATAATCCTGGTTAGCTCGCTCAACACTCCCCAGCTGGCTTTGCGAATGACGTGGCTTCTCGTGTAGAATTTTTAAACCATCCCTGTGACAAAAATCACTATTTATATTTAATATTATCGAACGTATATAAGACACTACGGTTTTGCCATTACGATAAAAGTCAGTATACGGTTTTGCCCAAATTAGGTTGGTCATAACTAGGTTTGCCTGGTCAAAAGCCGAAATATGACATTTCGCCCAAGGATTGTGGGCAGTTCGAGTTTTTCCCGGGCATTTCTGAGGTTTGCCCGATTTCGACTTTTGCCCGTAACATATATAGTCGAGTCCCGATAACTCGAACCTCCATAACTGTCAAAAACTTAACAACTCGAATTTTTTTTATTCCCATATCAATTCTTATAACACTCAATGTATTATGAATCTTGATAACTGCAATCTAAAATTGTGATAAAAAGCTTAGTAAAAGTTTATTAAATCTGTTATTCCTGGATAGTGGATATAATATTATAATGTTTTATTTTTTTGAGTACTGTATAATAAAGATTAAATGAGTAGATAGAAACTGATTATTAGAGCATGCAAAATATAATAAATATGTATTGGTTAGTATGTGTCTACCTGTTGTGTCTATCGTGTGTATTTTTATACGTCTTTAACATGTCACAAAAACGAAAATTAAATCATTTAACTATAGTTGTCAGCTGACAAAGTTCATGCGATACAATTGGTGGAGAAAGGTAACCGGAAAAAACAAGACATCGCGAATGAATTTAATTTTCCACCAAATACGCTGTCAATATATTTAAAAAATAAGGTGGATATTTAAATAAAAAAGTTGAGGACAATAAATCTGACAATAAAAGGTCGAAACCAGCTGAATATCCAAATGTAGAGGTATGTTTATTCAAATGGCGTACTCAATGTAGAGATAAAAATATACATATAAGTGGACCAACACTAAAAGAAAAAGCAGAATATTTCGATTTTGTCAATAAACAGCCGAAAATTACAAATTAATTTTCTACTGTACCTAATAAATGATACATATATACATACTTATAATACCATTGTATCTATTTTAGTTTTTGTATAACATTTATATACATATTATATTGATCTCAATTTTTTATAACTTTTACAAATAACTCGAAGTTTTGATTTAATTTTGATAAATTCGAGTTAGGTACCTCGAATAATACATATCTCGAAGTGTATTATTCTCACCCTTCAACTTCGAGTTATCGCGACTGGACTGTAATTTGTATATAGTATATATATGTATAATGTATATTATATTTATATACATCACTTTTTAATTAGGTAGTTAGCGCATATTATTTTGTAGTTGACTCGTTAAAAGTAACTTTGTTGAAAATCATAAACTAAGAAATTCAAAATAATCCCGTCCAATCTAAATTATTTACAAACACTGTTGTGCCTACAATATACAACTACATATCCATCAATGCTAGTACCGATCTCATCAATCTTCATATCCAGCGTTAAAATCGGAAGATTACAACTATATTTAAAACGAAAACGTTCTATTCAATGCTGACACAGTAAATGATATTTTATTTTAATCTACTATTTCAAATTTCAAATTGCTTTGTTCGAGTGACAATCTATTTATTATTTTAAATATTAGGTTATTAAATCTGGCATCAATACATATCAATCATCATATTCTTATTATATATCGTATTTACAATATCGTCAGTACTGCCTTCCGTAGAACCTCGAGCTTTGCGACTTGAGGAACCAATTATTTGTCAAACAATAGATTGGGTTTGATTAATACATTAATGATGAATTAGATGGATGATTTTAGTAATTATTAATAATTTTAATATTATATTATATTTTAATGTTCTTATAACTTAATAATGTGTTATTAAACTACACGAGTTTATAATACAAAATTTGAAAAAGATATGTATTCATTTATACTGATATTTACTATTTAGTAATGTGATGAAAATGTACCTGTTGTGATTATTTAATTGTATTAACTATTTATTGTGAACTTGAAACTCAACTAGACTTCTACATAACCTTGTTCAGTGGATACCATTATTTTCTTGAAGAATATTAAAAATTTTAAAAATAATTGTATAATAGCATTTTAAAATACCGTATTATTGAAATATATTATATTTTTACAAATTTTAAACTGAACGAAAGTGGAACCTTTAATTAATTACATTTGTATAATATTAATTTATTGCTTCTCAAAGATTATAGTCGCATTAAAATTAAAAATTATTGAACTAAGAATTTATATTCCTTACCTAATTACTACTTACATTAGTATTCTGTTGTCTTTATATGAAAATTACTGTACAATTTATAGAAGATATTTTTTGACTTGAGCCAAAATTGTTTGTTCCTTATTTCTTTATAGCAAAACCTTCAGTACGAATTTCTGAATTACAGTAATTACTTACCTCGCACGGAATAAAATTTCAAATATTTAAATACTCATACATATTATTATGTATTATAAAGCTTTAGTCCAACAGTTTTACACCATTAAATTTTTTTTTTTTTTTTTGGGGGGGGGGGAGCTGACGAAAATATGTTCGTATATTATACATCTAACAGTCGGACATGCTGAGTACTAACAATAATAATATGTCCTGTCGCCGAAATACATCGCTAAGTACATTAACAAAGACAAACAAAACACTGTATTTTATGTATATTTCATTTAATTGTTGGTGGACTGCAGGTTAGCCGAGCAAATTCTAAGAGTGTGTGAGTGGTGAGTGTGTACGTGTAACTTGAACTTATGGTTTACAAACGTAAGTAACTCGAAAAAATAAATAGTAATAGTCTTGTACAGTTGTACGTATTTTCTATAAATAATTTATTAAGTAAAAAATAATGATTTTACGGTCCCGTTGGTCCTACTACTAAAAAGGGTAAGATAAAATAATGATAATCAATTGCCTGCTATTGGGTACAATGAATTTATATATTAAGCAACAATAATAAATTAATAATATCTCACGAAATTAGTTGGCGCACAGCCGGCCAGCTGCTATACCAGCCTATACCAGGACCTAATTTTAGTTGTTTAATATTCAATCACAAAATAATCGTGTTCACAAAGGGAGTAAACTAAAAAAAGTATAATACTTTTGTTGCCGAACGTTACAGAAATTTTAAATTTATTTTTATATTTTTTCTAAAAAAATAAATGTCGATAAAAATTTTTACCAACAAAATCCTTGCCACTCATACATATGTGCCCCAATCAACCTTCCTCTCCCCTCAAAGTACCTGGCTAATAAGCTCAGGAGTTGAACATTAAATTCGAATGAAAAAAAAAAAATAATAATATCAATTTGAGTTGTTTTGTTGTAATTTAATGTTATATATATATATTATTCACGAGTACTTGAAACTTTAAAACTTTAAAGTATATTTTTATATTTTATGCCTACAAAGATATTTTAACATTCAATATTTTCGGAAAACATCAATTCAACTTACTATGTATTACCAATTGTAACATATATTACTTTATTAGGAATAATATCATACAATATACTTACCTTGTAGGTGATAATATATACTAGGCCGTCGGCTGATTCATTCAGAATCGTTTTTCGTATAGAATGGTCAGTGATAATATGATTTAATTTAATTTATCTAATATTTATTGGTGATCCACTCGACACCTTATTTAATATATACAGCAGAATGGTACTAACATTTTATTATCTATTTATTCATTTCAATTAACATCGACATTGATGCATTTTTTTTAATAGAAAAAATCAATAAGAAGTTTTCGGTACTTATCTTATTTAAACATAAAACCTTGTTGTCTCTATACATAGTTACGATACAGGTTACGACAACTAACATCGGTTAGATAAGAAATAAAATATTTTGTGTATTGTGTACGTATATCTATCGAAATAATTCGGATACTGATACAACTACTCATACATTTGTTTGTTAATGGTAGGTTTAATGTACCTGTACATTTTTAATTCATAAATAAATAAAAACCACTTAATTTTTAACATGAAATATTTACCCTTTTCTACTAATATGTTTTTTCTGAATTAAAATGAATAATAGGAATATTGGGTGCAAAATATTCAAAAAAATGATTGAAGTATCTATGTCTAATTATATTTGAAAACAAATTATTCATAAATAGGTACAAAAAATCTAATAATATAAACAATATGTATAAAAATTTTCAATAATACGGGTACGTCGGAGTCGAGTTCCTCTTCTCCTCGACATATCGAGCCTAACTCGTACAGCTGCAACACTTTTAACTGGTGTATGAAAGAAAGAAAACTCCGCTGTAATGCCGGGCTCATTTAAATGCTTTAGGCGGGTTTGAATCTCAAAGTTCGCAACCGAGTGGCTAGAATTTCGGTTAAACCGGAATTCGTTTTCCGTAACATATTTGACGAACTCCGGATCCCCGAAGTGCCCATAAATGTTTAGTAAGTCATCTTCCCATGGGCATCCGTTGTCTCTGCAATACATAATGCACTCCACATCTCCTCCCATCAAAGCCATGGTAGACGTGCATTTATTCCACGGACAACCATTTTGTCGTGCGTAAGTCAAACACTCGATTTGTCCATAGTTCGCAGCTTGGGTACAAGTGTGCATGTCCCAGGGGCAACCGTTATTGTGTAAGTACATAAGGCAGTCCAAATGACCCCCTTCCGCGGCTACCATGCTCGTGTACTCGTTCAAAGTACTGCCGTTCACGTGTGCGTATGCTAGGCATTCCAAGTGGCCCGATTTCGCGGCCTTGTTGCTCGCCGACTCATAATCTTCGGTCGAAGTAGACCACGGGACACCGATTGCGCGAGCGAACTTCATACAATCGATGTGTCCGAGGCTCGCAGCCGTTTCACACAGGTTGTCGATTATGTAGTCGTCGCCGAACTGCGATTTTGCGATGGGCTGCACTTTGGCGAACATGGATCGCCGGTCTTCAAGTGGCCGAAAGCGCTCGACGTCCGAATTCAGTTCCATAACTCTGAGGAGCGATTTGCAACAAATTTGTAAGTCAACGGGTAAAGTCGGCAGCTTGTCGTACATTTTCTGCTGAGTATCATTGCATGCGTTGTAGGCCAACTTCAGTAGACTGCAGGGTAAATTGAACTCGTTCGCAGCCATTGCGGTAGTGCTTTTTAATAAATTGACGGTGAATTGACAGGTATGTTAACCTTACTGTAAACATAAAAGCCAAAATATTAATCCATATCGACGGGATAGACATATAATACTCTTATATACTCCGGGCCATATATGTCGACCAGAGAAGTGAAAACTCAAATAGTTGGGGCGTAAAAAACAAAACACAAATGAGTATGCCTATAATGGCTGCAAGATGACTGTGATTTAAAATTTTCAACCGGCGGATTATATGAACATATAAAATATTGCGATTTAAAAAATGCTTACAACCTTTTTCAAGTGTAAGATGAGTCACGGGCCACTAACCTCGCGTCGTGGGAAGCCGGCTTTGTATTAAATATTTTATTAATTGTATAAATTGTTCTTAAGTTTGTTGTGCTTAGCGAAATCGATAATAATATTGATTTTAACAGTGTAGGGCCAAATTATCTTAGTTTAATAAAAATAAAAGTGGCGGCTGGAAAGTATGATAGAAACCTAACCTAACGGGCGAGCTCACACACCCGCTAAATGAATGTTTACGTACTGTATGCACATGAAACAATATTTTATATTTAAAAAAGTTAGAGTTAGGGTATATTTTATTTTATTTTTTCGATTTTATAATTTCTATTTATTTTTATTATCTAATTGACTATAACTATTACTAATACTATTTACCACCGTATTTTAAGCAGTTTGCGTGTGTGTGTGTGTGTGCGTGTGTGTGTGTGTGTGTGTATGTGTATGTGTGTGTGTGCGCGCGTGTGCACGTGGTGTGTGTGTGTGTGTGTGTGTGTGTGTGTGTGTGTGTGTGTGTGTTAATTTTTATAGCACTATTAGATTCATTGATAACATATATTTATAGGCTGTGAATATTGTTATTACTTTTCACTATTATTATAGGTAGCACCTCCTTATAGACTACATTGGTTGTTCTTCCGTTTGTGGCAAGAATTACTAAGCTTGTAGGTGAACTAACTCTGGAGCATGCCGCATAAAATTGCCCATGTGTAAAGCAGTCATCACTCTAGTCAATCCCTAATATCTTCAACGACTGCCCGTACAGTCGTTCGGTGAGCATGGGACAAGGCTTGTTTTGGAAAATAACGTTAACGGGTTCATACGTTATTTTTAAGTCATTGTAAAACTAACTTACTCCTAATTTTTTTTTTTATTCTAACAAAATAAAATATTTTAATATTATTATGTACTTACGGATAATAATTATTATGATTTTCTGAATGATGATTTGAATGTACCTGGCGTCACGGACGGTCACGTGCTGAACAACTACTGTACTGCAGCCTGTAGAGCGCAGCCGTGTAGTCATAGCAGAGATCTTTTTTGGCCTCCCCCACCATAAATTCGATGTGTCTGGCCATTGCGGGTTTTCTCTATAATGTTGTATATTATGATATCACAGCGTACATTTGGTCCAAATCCCAGCTTACTATGATTTTAAAATGCGTATTTTAAATTGGCCTGACGGTCTGTATAACAATATGACAATTTCTTCCACATAAAAAATAAAATATTATTTAATTATTTCTCGGAAACAAAAATACTCATGTAGAAGTTTATTCTTTAACTTACACAAAATTAATTAGTTAATAATTTATATAGAATAGCGGAAACATTTTCCCACAATATTTATAATTGTTTATCAAAAAATTAAAAATGTAAACATTATGTAGGATAATCGTCGTATAGTCATATATAACCATGGTGGTGAGGAGCAGGGACGGATCCAGGGGGGGGGCAAGGTGCCCAGACCTTCCCAAACACATTATTTCCCAAATTCTTTAATAATTCTACAGCTCCTGATATCGCTTTATTTCAAATTACACGAATGTTCTGATAATATATTATATTATTATATATGTAAGTATCATTGTGGATTGCACAAACTAAGTTAGTCCCCCCCCTCCCCATTGACACAGTTTATTTAAGCCATTAAAGATGTTAATATATTATTGATATTATATATTATAAAGTACCACGGTTTGGTTAGGTTAAAAAATAAGTGAAAAAAATATATCGGCGGTACGACCGTGTATATTATCACGAAACAGGAGATGCCTATTTTAACAGTGTAAATGTTGGGGTTTTTTTTTAAGCGGACCTAACTAATCTATCTACTGATCTACTTAAGCAATTAATACCTAAATAATTGGAAAAAATCAAACGAATTGTGCGGATGATCTTTTCACAAAAATTTTCGAAATCCTAATGTTAGGAATTAAGTAATTAAAGGAAACTTGCAAACATTTTAATGAGAGATTATAATTCAATCTGGAATCATGGCGGCCGCATCTCGCGTTTTCTCACCAACCGGTTCCCTCTCCATTTCGTGTACTCAATACAAATTTATTGCCATCTCACATTCGCGTATTTATTATTTATTTAATTTCGTTATCGACTATCGCTTATTAAATTAAATTATATTTTCTAAGTTATAATATAAGACAGTGTGTTATTACTTATTACCATGTTCGAAATTGTAAACATGCCAACTAAAGTACACAAACAAAGAATGCAAAATAAACATAGTGATAAAATAAATTAATAAAAAATAAGTATAGATATAAAAGGGTACCATCCACGGTATAAATAAAATATATATATATAAGAAACACTACCAAAAAACGATGTAGGTTGCGTGCCGCCCCAAAGGCACACCAGCAAAAACGGCGCTTACTCGCTGTTCATTTTTCTGAGGTGGGAGAAAAAAATGAATTGATCGGCCGTCGTCCTGTCTGCCGATCTCAAACCGTTTTTCTTTCAAGAACAGCTGACGGGCGATAGAAGGGGCCTAAGTGCTCGGGGTTCATTTTTATGTATACAACTTCAATACACTTTTGGCATTAGATAAAGGTATAGTAGTGCGAGAATACCTTAACCTTTAGTCTTTGCCACTGGAGGAAGGTGGTGAGCGGGTGTGCGACAGTCTCATAGCCGCACCGCCTTTATTTGACGAAGACCTGAAGCCCGCGGTATAAGTTGCCTTATCACACGTTGCAATCTTAATGTACATGCTTGGTATATATATATATCGAATTGTGAATTTATTTGCGTTGGACGTCACATTCTACTAAAAATACATATCTTATACCTACTATATTATTTTAAAAAAGGCTTAACTATTGAATATCAGATTTAATGATGTCATTGATTTTTTCAACACTCGGGGTCTTCTTCAGCATCAACACATATCTTGTTTTCTAAATAAAATTTTTATAACTCGTCGAAAATGAAATTTTACATTAATTTTTCTAATTTACTAATTTACTATACAAATTACGGATGAGTAAATAATCAAAAATTATTTTAAAATATGCAAAATAAATCAATAAATATTAAAAATATGCACAAATAAAAAAAATTAAAAATGTGCAAAAATATGCAGCGTAAAGCTTTAAATCCAAACATTACAGCACATATCTGTACTGAATCAGAATTATTCTTTTAATTTCCCGAACAAATACATGAAGTCCCGAGCCCTGGAAATGAGTATCACGTCCTTATCTAATATGAAGTAATATTCACGCGCTTATTGTTAAGAGGATGTCAACTATTAGCTATGTTGCGTTTGGCAAATACGAGTATCTGAATACCATATTATAATATAGCTACATTTGTGATCCTTAAAGGTGCCTGCGAGTCGAAAAAACAATGTTTACGATACAAAACGATATAAAACAATCTTACATAAAGCATAGCTATTTTAGTTGTACCATTTTATTTAATTATTATGTTTCGACGCATATGGGGTTTTCCGTTCAATTTTTTTTATAAATGCATGTGCCAGGCTGTCAAAAAGGGTTCATTGAAATATAATATATAGTTAACGTTCTCTTCACGGTCGAAATGAGATTATCTCATTCACATTGTATCCCGGGAATCATATCGACAAAATGTTCCCGGATCCAAGACGTTTTTGTTGTGTTCTTGAAGCAAAAAAAAAAGACACCAAACATAGTTCTACACTCACTACAATATATATCGTTGTAAGCCAGAAACTGTCATAGTATTAAGTTAAAAATATTGTGTACTCCGCTCAGGCTTATAAAATTTGAAGTCTTATTGAGCGTTCACACATTTCTAAAATTCAAAATAAATACATTCAACTAAGACGTTTAAAATCACTAAAGTACTAGGATTCCTAAATAATTGTATTAAAGCGCAATCAAGTACAAAGAAAGTAGGTACTTATACGAGTAATAACAACTGTAATTATTTCTGTTAGAAGGTTAGGTTAGGTTAGGTTATTGACATATTAAAAGCATTGTTTTGTAAAACATATTTAAATGAATAATTATCAGTAAAGTAGGTTCAGTAAATTTGAACCGCAGAACAATTTTTTTATTAAAATAATTTTCAGTTCAGTAAAGCTATTAACTAAAACACGTAGATATTCAATTGTTTTCTTTTTGAACATATGAAAATTAAAATGAGAGTAAATAATAATATTATTTAGTTGTTATCGTAATCAACGGATGGCATATTATGATCAAATTCACACCATAATATTTTTGATATTTAGTTAAGTGAAAAATTGATGTACTTATGATTTAGTTACAATGGTAAACGTTGTAGTGAAATTCCAATGAAAAAAAATGTAATATTAAGGGTTGAAAAATAAATTAATGACGTCATCATATAACCCGATCTCAAGGCCGCCGCCCATATCTTACGTCTAATGGTGGTACTGCCATCGTCGAAGAATAAAACATAAACATTGTTTTTATGCATCTTATACCCAGCAAAACGATCAGATACAATGCGATATAAAATGTATCAGTAGATTAATATTACTTAACTAAATATTAATTTTTCACTTGCCAATTAATAATATTCAACCTTACGTTAAAGTACAGATTGGATATAAGGGACGTCTTCGATGCGTTTGGAGGGTAAACAGCGGACAGTTGCCCCACCTTACACCTTGTGCTTTTTTTAATTTTTAAGCCTTTAATAATACTATGAACGTTATGTGAGGTATTTTAGTGGTTGTAGGGGGAGGGGCATGTTTGTGCTTAGTTTCCGTATTTGCTCATACATATAGAAAAACCTTTACTGTTAATACAATTTTAAAAAAAAACGTTAAAATACTTGTTTGCGCCGAGTAAAATTACAAATTAATAAATTTGGCAATTCTTGTTCCACTTTTTTCAGAATTGTAACTGTTAGAATAAAATAAATTACAATTATTCTGGTGTTGTTAAAAATTTTATTTTTCGTCATTAGTAAAGGAATGATAAGTCTTAAGGGACAAAGCATAATACAATTGACTGTAAAACAATATTGTATAGTGTATGAATTAAGCTTAAATTTTTTCTACTATTTTGAAATGTGAACAAAATATACAAGTGTGTTACTCAGATTCCAGCCAAACGGCCGTTAAATTCACCGCTATTATAAACTAAGGGGAGGTATTCAATGTAAATATAGAAATTAATTAATATTATATGAATAATAATTATTGGTTGTCATTGACCCTAGCTATGGAGAGATATGGTCTACATCCCATGTTTTATTAACCCGATACTGTGATTCATAGCTAACTTATATCTACCCAACAAATGTGCAAACTTTGCGCATTCAGTAGTTGATTTATTTATGTTAATCTTATAGGAGTTCGATCTTTTCCCATACACTAGCTCGTTTTATATACATTACTCTGAAAATAGTTAGTATCAATATACATAAATAATCTCAGTTCGACGATACGTTTTCGTGGCCTTACATGTGTAGAGCAGCGAGGTCCGTCTTTGCGTGTGGTGTGAGTCTCGGCGGGCGTCGGTCGTCGAACACAAGGGGTGGTATGCGTGGTGGTGGTGTTTTCAAGGACGAGGCGGCGTTATTATTCTCAACACGTTGGAAAAAAAACTACTCTCACGCACAACTAACCATTTATTGTATTGCACCCTTTTGTCGCGAATGCTCTAAACGCGTCCAAGTATTGTTAAATGGTTTATCCCGGCTCTGGACATAATACCATTGTGAGATAGTAAAAATTATATATACACAATATAATAATATACTCATTGGTGATATATTATGTTTCCAACAAATGCAACAGGTTCTATATTATTTGTATTCTTGGTGTGGGCTGCAACGGGCTAACTATCACTTATAATAATATTGTAAACCTATATTGTTTTAATCGTACAGCATTGAACGAAATAATGCTATTGTGTTGTCAGCAAAATATCATAAGAGGACGCCATACTAGAATGTGCTGTTTCCATCTTACAAACGTACAATATAGAAAAACTGCCTTGCGCGGAATAGAAATATTCAAGCTATAGTCCAAGCTAAGTAACCAAATTTTTATCCTATTAAGAGGAGAACATTTCCTGTGCAACGCCGTTTTTATTTTTTCGATATCACAAATACAGAAAAAGTAATTCAAGTTTGTAATGATGAATTTTTAAACAATAAGAACTGAAGATAAAAAATAAAAATAAAATAATAATATTAACTATTAAAGATATTGAAAAAATAAA